GGGGCCGAGACAAGACCGATACAATTTCTAAATTTGCCCGTCTTGCCTGGACGAAGTCCTCCGAAGTAGACTCACGTCGGACGTCCACGATGGAATGCACGTACTGCGGCGCCGAGGTCGCGCGCTCCTACGAGACCGCCGCCTCGGAGGCGTACGCCGGGCACCCCGACACCCGGAGTACGCCTGGCGCCCGGCGCCTGGCGTACGCCGTCCGCGACGGCGTACGCTAACTAGCGTACGCTCCACACAGCGTACGCCGGGCGTACACTTTTTTTTCTCGTCGTTTTAATAAGGGCCGAGCGCCTCGAGCGAAGGTGGTGAAAATTCGTGCGACAACAGATCGACAACCGTTTGCGGGACGCGTGCGTTGAAGCCCCTGAGCGCACACAAAAACACCGCCGCGCGCAGGTCGGTGCTCGAAGATGAGCGGCCGCGCGATGGACGGCGAGTCGCAGCGCGGGCTCAAGAAGATGAAGCCCCTGAGCCTCGCGCCCTTGAGCCTCGGGGGGGACCAGCTCGAGCCCGGGGACGCGATGATCGACGCGATGATCGACAAGCTCCTCCACTTCGGGGCGGACGCTTCGGCGTCGCCGGCGGGCGCCCGCGCCGGGGCGCGGCCGTGACGCGCCGCGCCACTCGCGCGCGCAGGTGACGCCGCGGGCCGCCGGCCGCTTCGGCCTCGCCAGGGCGGGCGGCGCGGCGATCTCGCAGCGCGACGTCGCTGCGCTGCTCCGGGCAGCGAAGGCCGCGTTCCTCGCGGAGCCCGCGCCCGCGCGGGAATCGGCCCGGATTTCGACACCGGCGGTCACACCGCGTCGGCGCCGCCCGGGCCGGCCTCGAGCGCGCGCGCGCCGCCCTCGGCGCCGCGCGCGATCGCCGCAGCGCCGCGTCGAGCGCGCCGACGCGCGCGCAGGCCCATGCTCCTCGAGATCGCCGCGCCCGCGGCGGCCGGGGCCGCGCGAGGGTGATTCCGGCCCGCGCGCGATCGCTCCGGAGCGAGGGGCCCGCGCGTCGAGCGCGCGTCGAGCGATGGTCGCTCTCGTCTGAAGCCGGCCCGCGTCGCGCGGACGCCGGCCGGGGCGGGAGCCTCCGACGTCGCCGCGCGCCCCAGGTGAAGCTTGTCGGCGACATCCACGGCCAGTACGCGGACCTGCTCCGCGTCTTCGACGAGTGCGGCGGCCCCGGCCTGCGCGGAAATCGACGACTGGGTCGGGGGGTCCCGACCAAACTTCAAAACTCTCGAGCTCGGTCAAATCGAAGTCGTTTTGGACGATTTGTGAACGAGTCTTTCTCTCGTCGAGTTCTCCACGGAGAGCGCCGGGAGCTGCGTCGAAACGGTCGCATACGCGTTGAAGTCATGTCGAAGATTTGGTTTTGGCGCAGGCCCCGGCGACGTCCGCTACCTCTTCCTCGGCGACTACGTTGACCGTGGCGCGCACGGGCTCGAGTGCGCGCTGCTCCTCCTCTGCTCCACACTGTGTGGAACCCACATCTTCCATCCGACTTTCATGCGCGCGTATGGAACCGTTTCGACGCGACCGTTTTTGTGCTCCGCGGAGAGCTCGACGAGAGACGCGCGCTCGTCCGAAACTTGGCCGAATCGACTTCGACGCGACCGAGACGGAGCGTTCTCGAGTTTGGTCAGGACCCCCCAAACCAGTGGTTGGCACCCACACAGGCTACAAGGCGGCGGCCGGCGCGGGCGCGCCGGGGCCGCGCTCCCCGGGGTCGGGGGGGGGCGACGACCCGCGCCGCGATCAGGTGAAGCACGGCGGCGCGTTCTGGCTCCTCCGCGGGAACCGCGAGCGGAAACGACATCTTCGACCCGACTTCAATGTGGGCGTGCTCGACCGTTGTGACACGAGTTCTTCGGCCGTGCTTCGAGAACTCGACGAGAGCGATTGAGTGGTTCAACAATCAGCCGATTCGACTTCGACGCGACCGGGCTCGAGAATTGTGAAGTTTGGTCGGGACGTCCCAAACCGGCGGTCGATTTCCACACAGGCGGGAACCATGAGTGCGCGGCGATCAACCGCATCTACGGCTTCTGCGACGAGTGCAAGCGCGCCTACGGCCTGAAGGTCTGGAAGCAGTTCAACGACGTCTTCAACTGCATGCCCGTCGCCGCCGTCGCCGCCGGCGCCGACGCGCGGGCGCCCCCGCCTGGGGGGGGGGGGGC